GGGGGAGGAGGAAGGAGGGTGCTTAACTCCCTGTTGGCCCGGAGGAGGAGGAAGACTTGGAAGGCTCTGGCCCCACTCAAAATGGAGCCAAGCGACTGCCTCGCCTAAGATGGTGGCTTAAGGTCCTCAGCCTTGATTGGGTACCTAGAAGAAACGAGCGGGTCCAAAGGTAGCCGAATCCTGTCACCCTTTCTCAAGGTGGCGCCCCGCCTCTGCTGGCGTCACGCGGGAGCCGCTGGCCTCCCTTCCCCGCCTCTGCCGCGGTTACCTCGCGTGCCCAGCCCTCATAAGATGGCGGTCTGGTAGCCTCCCCGCGGCGGCGCCGCCACTCTCAACATGGTAGCTGTTTACCCCATATTTCTCCTCCCCTCTCCGCTTCAACTTCCTCCTTGTTTTGAATAAACTTTATTGACTACTTCGAATTGCCTACCATCGCCACCGGGTTTCTCCCGGCGACTTTTCCGGCAGTTTTTCCTTCGACCTGGCCGCCGGTTATTCTCATTTCTCTTGCTTTGCTGCAGCGATCTCCAGCCGGCTCAGGGACGACGCCGTTTGTCCGCTCCTCGGGCGGCCGCCGGACTAGGCCCGAGTTGCGGGCTCCAGTAGGCCCTAACGACCGGGCCCGGGGCAAAACCGTGGAGAAAGCCGCTCTGAAGCACCGCCGGGCGCCCAGGACCGCGCAAAACCCAGCGGGTGGTTCTGGGGGAAGGCTAGCAAGATTCGCAGCGTTGCCGTGACGATCCCAGAATTCGGCGCGCGCCGCTGGTGGGGCCGGAACTGCTTGCCGATCCTCCGCTGAGCTAGGTGCTGAGGCGCTTCGGAGCAAGCCCGGCAGCTGGCGCGTCGGTGGAACAGAACTCCGCTAGTGTGAGCGATCCCTGTAGCTTTGCAGATGAGGAGGTCCCTGTAGGGTTCAGGGCAAAAGCCATTCTTGTCAGGTTTGGGGCGTGAGGAGGTTCCTGTCATTTTGGGCGGCGTGAAGAGATCTCGTAAGCTTCGGGGGCTGCAAGAATATTCCTGTCAGTCTTGAGATCTGTGATGAGCTCTCTGTCAGTTTGGGGGGACAGGGGAGTCCTCGTCACTCTGAGGGGGCTGTGAGGAGATGCCTGTCCGTTCCCGAGCCGGGGGGGGGGGGGGGGGGGGGCCGGTGAGATCCTTGCTTAGTTGCGGGAGTGTGAAGAAATTCTAGTCAGTTTCAGGGGTTTAGAGGAGATCCTTTTTAGTTTTGGGGGTGCAACACGGAGCCCTGTCGTCTTCGAAGTAGAGGACGATCTGATCGTTTCTAGAATTGAGATTTATTTAATTTGTTGGGGTGATGAGACTACTGACTGGTTGGGGATGGAATGATTTTGAAAGTGAAGGAGAAGACCATTTCAACTCTCAGCACGACCCCAGAACTGTGGTTTGAGTTGGGCGCCTAGTCTTGTCTGCCTTGTTCCTGAAGGCATCGAGGTGATTCTCGAGTAATCTGAGGCGACTTCCAGGGATCCCTCATCTCTCTCTAGTTGCCCCTATTTGGGGAGTGAGAGAAAGGGCTTTTTCTAAGGTACCCCAGCCTATTTATTTTGGCTCTGGTTTGCGTCATAATAAAGAGAGCCCTGGGAAGCAAGGTTGCTAGCAAGGAGAGGGTCCAGCAAGGGATTAAAGAAGCTTCCTGAAAAGGCGTCAGATATTTCCCTGAAACCCGGAAAGAAGTTCTCACTGACTCAGGGGGCCGATGGAGCTGGGGGGCGGGGGAGAAACCTCGACGGCCAAATGCCGTCCTTTATTTGTTAAAAACATTCTGGTGGCCGGTGGACTTTTCTCCGATTGCCCCCTACAGCCACACCAGCTGTGTTGCATCCCAGCAGCACTAACTGCCCATTTGTGAACTGAGGGTTGGTACCCTGGGGGACCTGATTCACTCGGTAAAAAGTGTTGTTTGTGCCCAGCTATCGTCCAGAAAGGACGCGCGCTGCTGCCTCCTGCTTCTCTTGACGCTACGAACCTGGCCCGCCGCAGAGCGCTCCAAGGCCGGGCGAAGATGGCCTCGGTACCAGTGTATTGCCTCTGCCGGCTGCCTTACGATGTGACCCGCTTCATGATCGAGTGTGACATGTGCCAGGACTGGTTTCATGGCAGGTAAGGAGGGCAGTCCAGACTGGACAGGTGCTCACTTGCACGCTTCTTTCTCAGTCCTGTTTTAGGTTCCTGCTCAGAAACTTTTCCCCCTTCTCTGGCCAAGAGTTAGCTCCAACCCACCTCCCAGACCCATGTTTTTTCATCCTTCCTTTCAAGACCAGGGCGTAGCTCACAATGACCTCTGGTGTCTCCTCTTTTTTTCTATCCCATGTGTGTTTCTTCTTTGCCCCCTTTTTTATTTTAGGAAGTGTTCTCTTTCCAGCCACAAAGAATGTATCATTTTTGTATGCTGGCAATTGTGTTTTGCCTCAGATTCTGGCTTCTTGGGAGACAGTGCTGTATTTTTGAAATAATTGAAACAAACATGGATTTCAATTGTGCCTTTCAACTTACTATCAGAGTGTCCTTTGGCAAGTTGCTTTGCCTCTCTGAACCTCATGGTCTTCGCCTATAAAATATATCTAATACATCTGTCCTGATGATTTAAAGCGTTTTGCATGCATTCAGCAGGTGGAGGCAGAAATGCAATAGTACTTTATTTCTTCAGTATTTATCTGCAGAACCATCCAACTAAATTGAATTAAGCAGAAGAGGTATTGGGTAAAACAGCAGGAGCGAAACCACTAATGAATTTCCTCCAGTTAACCATGTGTGCACAGAAGCATCTGTCACCCAGGATTCCAGAGAAGTTAGTGTGTGGGAAGAAACTGATGTTCTCTCATTGTTGGGACTTAAGGCCCAGTTATGGAAAGAAAACCATGAGAGGAATTTTTGCACTGGAGTACAGTATGTTAGGTTCTACAATTTTCAGTTGTCAGTAGTCCCTTCTGAATGAGCTCCTATTGTCCCAGCCAAACTGAAGGTGCTGGTACTGCTATGCTAAAATTCTGCTCTCAGCAGGGATGGCCCCTTGCAGCGCCTTCAAATTCATGTTCAGCTGATCTTTATTATTTATTGTGTGCCAGGTGCAGAGTTCTTTTTACTGCTTCATGTGATTTCACTTAAGAGAGGACAGACCTAGAGGGTGGGGCCTTTTTCTTTCCTCTGGAAATAAGCGGGATTAAGATGATTTTCAGGATTCCTGGTATCTTTGCTAGTGCTGATCAAGTCACTCCTCTGTTTAAAATTCTTTTGGTGGTTCCCCTACAGAATAAAATTCAGTCTCCTTTGTGTGACAGACAAGACCTTTTGTGATCTACTTGTTCAGTCTCATTTCCTGCCACTCCTCCTCCTGGTTCTTTATGTCCCAGCAAGACTGAACTACTTATAGTTCTGGGAAAATTTTATACTCCTTTATCCCTCTTTTTCTTTGTGCATGCAATTCCTACTAATGTCCTCCCTTTTATAGGTCATGGCATACCTCCTCTGTAAAAGGCCTCCTTCCTCCTGGTTCCCATTGTACTTTGTGTACATCTTTATTGAAAGTAATTATTTCATCATATCATAGTTGTTAATAAACCTGTGTCACTCATTAGCCAGAGTTATTTGAGGGCAGAGATGTCATCTTCTCATTTTTAGTATCCCCAGAACCTAGTTTAGTGCTGAACATGTAATAGATATAATGAGTGAATTTTTGAATGAATGAATGAATGAATGGGCCTTCTTAAAATAAGCTATTGCCTGTGGCCTTTGCTTTGGATTATGTGAGAAGTGTGTAGATTCAAACCTGGAAAGTGAACTGCCCACAGTATAGAGACTCTAACTCCATAGTCTGGGAACAGAAAACTGGAACAAATGCTTTCTGAGTGCTTACTATATGCCAGGCCCCATGACAGGGACTTTGAATAAATTATTTCAATCCACACCCAATTAAAAGTTAGGTATTTCTTTTTTAAATAATGTTTTAAGTTTTTTCCTGATTATATGTGTGAGACATGCTCATTGTAGAAAAGACAAAAATAATAAGGAAATAAAAATCATCTATGAATCTGCTGTCCAGCATAATCCACTGTTAAATGTTTTGTTGCATTATCTCCTGTCTTTTGACTTAGGATATAAACCTATATTTTTATAACATGGGATTGTATTATAAATACCATTTGTAGCCTGACTTTTATTCCTATTTAATATTCTGTGAGTATTTTACCAGGTTGTCAAATACTCATGTAAATCTCATTTCTGATATCCCACCATATATCTATGTGTCATCAATTACTTGGTCATTTCTTCTGTGGTTGGATACTTAACATCATTTCTACTTTTTTATAATATTATGTTATGAGGGAAACTTTGGGAGTTCTGGAAATGTTTTTCATTTTGATACAAGTTGCTGGTCAAAACAAAAAGAGAAATGTGGTGCACATTGTTGCACAGTGTTCTTGTTGACATTTATAAAGAACACCACTGAGGCCATTATGAATTGCAAATTTACAAATGTAATTGCAAAATTACAAATAAGGGATAGGCTCCTCCTTAATTACATTTCTGTGGTGAATCATGGGTTTCTACGAGGACCCTGACACAGGTTAATTGCCTTATTTTTTTTCTATGAAAGAGACCACGTTTTTATCTCTTCTCATGCCTCTCTCTATGGGCTAGCAGAAAACAAGGAAGTCATCTAAGAATCAGGTCCTGGTGGGCTGCTCTTGCTTAACCCATGCATTGTGTGCACATGCACACACACCAGGCTCACAGTGCTCCATATAAGATTGTACTTAAGCACAATTGAAAATTAAATATTGTGGACTTTTCATGGTTGCTCACAACATTTAAGCCCACAGATGCCTTATAGGTGATATAAATCTGTTCACATCTCTGATGATTTCCATAGGCTAGACTGCTTCAAGTCCAGTTAGGGATTAATAATGCCAAGTTATTTCCTGGAAGATGACTATTCCATTTTGCTGCTGAGAATCTAGAATTCATGGAATTACTTTCTAAGTCTGGGGGCGCCTGGGTGGCGCAGTCGGTTAAGCGGCCGACTTCAGCCAGGTCACGATCTCGCGGTCCGTGAGTTCGAGCCCCGCGTCGGGCTCTGGGCTAATGGCTCGGAGCCTGGAGCCTGTTTCCGATTCTGTGTCTCCCTCTCTCTCTGCCCCTCCCCCGTTCATGCTCTGTCTCTCTCTGTCCCCAAAAAATAAATAAACGTTAAAAAAAAAAACAAAAAAAAAACTAAGTCTGGATTTGAACTTAGAATTATCTGGTTCCAGAGTCCAAGTTCTCAAAAGTGGAAAAAAGTTGGTATTAACTTTTTTTCTCCTGTGAAGGGCTGGGTTTTTGCAAATCACTTTGATTTGTAGAACAATGGTTCTCAAACTTTAGCATGCATCAGAATCACTTGAAAGACCTATTAAAAGACAAGATAGGTAGGCCCCACTTGCAGGGTTTCTGATTTAGTAGGTGAGTGGGGGGCCACCCTCAGAACCACTGATTTAGAGCATTATTCTGTCTCAATTCCTTCCCTATCTGTGGAGTGTGACAGCTTCTGGTTTGGGGGATGGGTGTGCTAACATTTTGTTCTCAAAGTATGGTTCATTAACTGGGAATTTTTTAAAAATGTGAATTCTTGGGCTGGGACCCAGCAATCTCTATTTAACAAAACGAAAGATTCTGATGCACCCTAATTTTTGAGAATAATTGTACACTGGTGAAGAATTAGTTTGTGAGCATTTATTGACTTCTGGGGCTTTGGCAAAACCTCACCGCTTTGCAGTTTTCCTATCTATAAAGGAAGTGCTGGTTGGCACATCTCCAAGGGGAGGGGGGGGCGTGGCTGAGGTGTGGACTCAAAACTCTAGAGGAAATGGCACTGGCTTCAGAATTGGGTTCGAATTCTGACTCTTTAGCAAAGGATTTCAACTCTGTGAAGCTTCAGTTTCCCCAGGAGTGGTTGTAATGATTTAAATAAAATGATAATGGCCTAAAATGATAATGGCCTTTGTTTATTGAGTACTAGCTAATGTGCCTGTCACTATACTAAATACTTTGCTTAATTATCTTTAATCTTTTTTTGTTTTTAAAATTATGGATTAAATTTATTTAATAGTTTTAGGACAATGAAAGTTATCTATTTAATACCAAATGTATTGTGGTAGTTTATGCTTTCCAAGGAATTGATAACATTTCATCCAGGTTGTCAAATTTAAGTGTGTAGAATTGTTCAAAATATTATTACCCTTTTGATATCTGTAGGCTGGCTCTGTGATGATATTTCATCCCTGATACTGAAAAATTCTCTTTATTTCTCAAACTTGATAGACGTTTGTCAGTTTTATCGATCTTTTCAAAGAACAAACTTTTTGTTTCATTGACTTTCTCTATTGTCTTTCTGTTTTCAATCTGGATTTCTGCCTTTATTATTTCCTTCCTCCTGTTTTGGGTTTATTTTTTTACCTAATTTCTTGAGGTGGGAGCTTAGGTTATTGATTTAAGTCTTTACCTGTTTTCTAATGTAAGCATTTAGTATTATCAATTTAGCTATGTCCCACAAATTTTGGTATGTTTTCCTTTTCATGTAGTTCAATGTAATTTTTAATTTCCTTAGAGACTTCATGTTTGACCTAAGAATTGCATAGCAGTGTGTTGTTTAGTTTCCAAGTGTTTGTAGATTTTCCTGTTACCATTCAGCTACTAATTTCTTATTGGTTCCATAGTGGTCAGAGAATATACTCTGTATGATTGCAATTTCTTTAAATATATTGAGGTTTGTTTTATGGCCAAGGATATGGTCTGTCTTGATAAATGTTCCATGGTCACATGAAAATAATCCTGCTATTGTTGGGTTGAGTTATTTTTTTATTTTTTTTAAATTTTTTTTATTTTTAAAACTTTTTTTTAACATTTATTTATTTTTGAGACAGAGAGAGACAGAGCATGAATGGGGGAGGGTCAGAGAGAGGGAGACACAGAATCTGAAACAGGGTCCAGGCTCTGAGCTGTCAGCCCAGAGCCTGACGCGGGGCTCGAACTCACAGACTGCGAGATCATGACCTGAGCTGAAGTCGGCCGCTTAACCGACTGAGCCACCCAGGCGCCCCGAGTTACTTTTTTATATAAATGTT